CTTATTCAATTTGTTTTTTTCACCTTACAAGTTCTTTTGAAATTGTTGCCAATATATTTTAAAAATTATTGAATTTATAATAACATATTTTTATGTTGAAATCAAAGTATTTAATATAATAGAACATTATTATAAGTTTCTTTTATCTTTCTTTCGACAATTTAATGCACATCTGACGAGAAAAAGATTTTTTATTTGGTTATTTCAAGAAAACTGGATTAGAGGAATTTTGAAGATTCTAAAAACCTATCTTAATTTTCTCTAAAGATATGCACTTTAATCCTAAATTTTTAGAATTAATTTTTTAATCAACATTGGCTTGAATTTAGTCCAGTCCTAGTTTGATATGAAATACTAAAAATATATGTATATAGATCAAGAATAAAATAACTTGATAATCTTGAAAAAAAGAATTATTTATTTTCCTTTTTTCACATTGCTCAAATGCCTCTTTCTTTCATTTTCTCTAATGCTCCACGACTCCACCTCTTACTTTTAGTCTCATATCTTCCTTCACCTCCATCCAGTGCTATATGTAGTCTCTCCCTTGGTCTCTCAGTTGCTCTTACATGCGTGCAATCGGTTGGTTGTCAGCCAAACATCACTTTATGCCTCGGCCCTTATTTGTTCTCGCTTTAGCTTCGAGCCTATTCAATATACAATAGTTGCTTTATTTCACTTGTTTTTCTTTACTATGTGTACACATGTATATCAAAATTCATGAATATACTAAGTAAGGACGCGCAGATGCAAAAAATGATAAGTATATTCTAAAAAAATTAAATAAAGTTTAATAAACACCACAATATCTCATTCTATTTTTAGCTCCTAAAAAGAAATTCATGAATATACTTAAAATTTTTCAATAAATTTTAATAAATATTCATCTCTAATCTATCCCTTTTTAATCATCAAAATAAAATTTTTAAATGCACTGTTTCTAAGCCAACACAGGGTAGAGTTTATCTACCTGACCGTTGCTAGAGGACCATGGATGGATCACTGCCTTTTCAATTTCAGGCTACTTGGGGACGAAGCCCGATCAACGCAGCAGCCAATTCAAATAACAATGATAATAAAAAAGCAACCCAACGCAGCTAAATCCCCAATCTTCCCTGTCTGCTTGCGACTGACCCAATGATTGGGAGCACCTGGCTGTGCTCCCCGCTCTGTGGCTTCCCAACCTGTTAACGTCGTTTGTTCTATCTCATGCAGTGGTTCGTTGGTGGACCGTGGATGGTCGTTTCCTCGGCCTCACGCCTTGCACACAAATATCCGATATGCTGTTTGTTGCGCTTCCTATTTTTCAAGTGAAAATGCTATCATTAAGGGCCATAACAAGGTCGATGGGCCAAAACGTCGTCCTTACCATGTGCAGAAAGAAGAATCTCAATCAACACTTTGTATTTGGATTCTTAAAATCACACTATTCAAATCCTCAGTTGCCTGATGATTCTCATGGGTGTCAGTATCAAAGTTGCCGAACTCTTATTTTGGAGCCCGCCTCACAGGAACCTGTAAAGCTCAGCGGGCTCGCCGACTCCAACTCTGGTACTGCCAATTCAAATTCTGGATTATGCATATGTTTATATTGGTATACTTTACGTATTAGTTGTTCTGAATGTCTGCTTGAGTTGCTTGAATTGAGTACTTTTTCTTCAAGTTTTTAAGGGATTAATTTGTATTGGTAGTGTATTTGGTACTTGTTATTGGTGCCAGTGTAACTGCGCTTTCCAGATGTTATATTTCGTATATGATTCTAGAATTGCATCTGGGTCATCTTAGGGTAAAAGGGAATACTTAAAAAGCATTTTCTTTTTGCATTTCTTACATAGGCGATAATTATTATTAACGATATATTAAACGTTTATCTAGTTCTTTTAGGTGTCTCTGTCGCATTAGAAGGCACTCCATTAGAACTTAGTTTAAAAAAGTGATAGTTGATTTTCTTTGAAGTAGACACTGGACGCTATTCTTTTTCTTCCTGCGGATGTCAGAGATATGGACATGGAGACAAAAATTTCTTAAGCTGCTAATGAACTTGGGCTAATTTCTTAAGTACGTCTTTGTTAATTTTTTAGTTCATTTTTCGTTTTCTTTTTCTTTCCAAATTTGAATAGAGGTTTGTATTTCGTAGGAGCCAAAATAATTGCTTAGTACTTCATGTATTTCAAGCTGTTACTACTCGCCCATTCTAGTCATCTGTACAAATTCTCATCTTGAATAACTCAATGTAGATATATAGGTAGGATTATGGCAAAAGTGATCACAATCAATTACCTGAAATTAATAACTGATTTCTGAACTAATTAGAATCAATTTCTAGTTTTAAATGAATTTTTTGGGAAGCAAGACGAAGTAAGGCTTTCTTGTCTTGATAAACTCAGAAACTTGTTTATTGCCAGTTACATCATAAGGACAACAAATCAAAAGACCTGACAAGGATGCAATTGAATTATGAATGCTTAAACATGAAAGTAATTCAGGTGTCTGCATAGATTACAACATATTAGCCATTGCTGTATTCAATCTCAAGGCCAAAGCTTCGCGCAAGAATCCCTCCGCTTGACTTGATTCTGCGAATCTAGTAGATGATACATGTTGCACACGCTTTTCTTTGAGTTCCTCTAATTGTTTTCTGCATTCCATAATCCGATTAGAATACTCTGTGATTCGATCATCATATTGATCAAGGATGGCACCTGCATGTAATTCAGATACAAGGGTAAACCGAACATATGCTACTTTGTTCAGACTTTCAAAGGCAAATTGAATTTTGAATCCAGCACGCTGTGCTAATTTGCAGTTAATCCACCATTGTCTCAGTAAATCTGCATTGATATTCATAACCTTAGTGTTGCACATGCTATGTACGACATGGCAAAACATAACCAGGTGATATGTCTTGACATTGGGCCTTTTTAAAGTGGAGTCAGCGGTGAAATCACCATATTTTTCAATCAACTTTTCTAAGACAGGTTTTAATTGTTTTGTGACCTCATGATTTCCAACTTTGACAATCTCTAATCCATTGATTGTGAGCTCAAGTGGTATTCTAGGCTCAATTGTGCCTGCAAACCTGAAGAAAGCCTCGTCCAAATATGAATGATATTTAAAGAAATTATTGGCGTAGTTTGACAAATGGTCCTCAGGTGAATTGTTAAAGATTATGTCACGCTCCCTGCGAAAAGATGATAAAACATGATCCATTTCCTTCTTATCATCTTCATCAAAAGAGTTTAGTATGTCATTGAAGGAAATGAATTTTCTTTCCAGTAATTTAACTGCAACATCTCTGTCAACTTTTTTCCATTCCACGTTTCCACACTTTCCTTGTAATAGAGGCAAGAGCTGCAAGGCAGACAAACATGTACGAAAATTATTCCCCCATACTTTTAATCATAAACAAAAAGCATATATGAAGTGAGATAGATGATAATTACTAATGACGGTAATTACCTCTCCCAAAACACAACCAAGCTGAGCTACAAAGTCACATTCTTCACAATAATAAACACATTCTCGAGGATCTCTTTCCAGCTCACAATCAAGAACGTCGCAAATATACTCTTGACCTTCAGAAGCATCGTCTATATGACAATCTTTAAGAACAAGAGGATCAGTGTGGCAAGGATGTTCAATTACACAAGGGAGCGGAACACACATGAGGTGGACATTAAAATCACACTTCACACAGCGTAAATAGGAATCCCCACAATATTTAGAAATATTAGAATATTTAGGATCACCAGAATATTTATAATCCCAAGAATATTTAGAATCACACACATGGCAAGGAGGCTTCCCATAAACATGACTTACAAAAGTAAGAAGATGCTCATCATGACCTTCATATTTAATAGAAGGTGCCAAGGAAGTGCACTCAACATGGAGATTGAAGTTGCACGATGAGCAGTTGTAGGTGAAACCATTGGACTCCACTAAGCATGCATCGCATCGAAATGATTTATCAAAGAGAGTAAGAGGGTGTTCATGAAGTTCATGATGAATCTCTCGTTGTAATTCCCCGCAAGATTCGTGTAAACAAAAGCTGCATCTATTGCAAGAGTAGGTGGCACCCGAGCATTTCTTCCCACAAGCTCTGCAGCAAGCACCATCATCATCTTTCTTGTGAGAAAGTGTCAATGGGTGTCCATGGCTAAAATGATTAATCGTCTTGTGACGGAGAACACATTCAATATCCATATTTAAGTCACACTTCTCGCATCGGAATACAACACCTGAACGCATTTGGTTACAAATACCACAGATGTATGGGGGGAAGCTTGCGCAGGAGCATAGGACATGGATGACGGAAGTTGATTACTTT